GGGGGGGGGGAACCGGAGGGGGAGACGAACCATGAGAGACTATGGACTCTGAGAAACAAACTGAGGGTTTTAGAGGGGAGGGGTGTGGGGGGATGGGTTAACCTGGTGATAAGCATTAAAGAGGGCACGTATTGAATGGAGCACTGGGTGTTATACACAAACAATGAATCATGGAACACTACATCAAAAACTAATGATGTAATGTATGGTGATTAACATAATAAAATAAAATTTTTTTAAAAAGCCATTGATCTCCACTGTCCCATCTCCAGTGTCTAGCAGTTTTTCAAGAGTAAATGCTACTTGATTTGTTGTTGCCTTTGCTTGATTTCCAGAGCCTTGAAATGGTTGTTTTCTACAGTATAGTCCTTTTTTTTTTTTAAGCTTTATTTTGAGGGAGGGAGGGAGAGAGCTTGTGCCCACATGTGCAAGCGGGAGTGGGGGAGGGGCAGAGGAAGAGAGAGAAAATCTGAAGCAGACTCCCCACTGAGCAAGGAGCCCAACCCAGAGCTGGATCAGGACCCTGAGACCATGACCTAACTGAGAGTAAGAGACACTTAACCAACTAAGCCACCCAGGCACCCCTACAATGTTGTCCTTGTTATAGGTGTTTTGTGGGGCGACGGATTTACCAATCTCTTTATTCCACGATAGCTGGAAATATTACCTCTATTTAAACTTTCTAACTTCTTACTCCTTCCCCCGTGTCTTCCAGGCCCACTTCAATTCACTCTGGTCAGGCTTTTGTTAACTACTGTTCTACTGAAGCCACTTTTATTAAGAGTCACTGGCATCCTGCATTTATCCTTTCCAATTATCAGTTTTCTGTTTTCATCTTAATCAACCTTTCAGCAGCTTTCGGCATAAATGGTCACTCCCTTTTTCTGAAAACTTTTTTTAATTGGCTTCTAAGATAATACTATCTCCTGTTTTTCGTCTTACTTCATTACTTTGCCACGTGATCCACTCCTCTCGTACCTCTTCAGTCAAATGCTCTTCCCCTGAGCTATACCCCCTCTCTCGTACCTCTGGATATTTATTTATGTATTTTGGTCTAAACTTCTTCCCTGGGTGATACCATTGGGTTCCCTTGCTTTAAGTTCCCTTTATGAAGATGACCCCCTGATGCATATTTCCAGCTTCAACTTCTACCTTGAGCCTCATAGTATTTTCACTTGGACGGCTAGTAAACATTTCAAACTTAATAGATGGAAAACAGAACTCTTGAACCACTTTCCCCATCAAATTTATTCTCTTCAAGAGTTTTTAGAATGATCTTTTAAAAGGGTAAATCAGATTATGTCATTTTCCTGATCAAAACATTGGCTTTCCTTTACATTTAATGTGAAACTCAGTTTCTTACCATGATTAAAAGAGTTTATAGACATACCGCCGGCCTACCTTCTCTGAACTTTTCTTCTCTTCCTTTACTCAATCACATTATTCTTTAGCTATTTCTTGAATATGTCATGTCCACCTCTAGCTGTTCACATTTGGAGGTTCCTATAAACTGCATTGCTGTTCCCCCATACCTTCACATGGTTCTCATCATCATATCATTCAGGTTTGTGTTCAGATCTTACCTCCTTTGTGAGGTGTATTCTGACTTCCCTATCCAAAATACAACTCCTTGTCTATATCATGCTCTATCTCCTTAAGCTATGTGAAAATATATTGCTTCTTCTTCACTGCCCTCCATAGACTGTAAGTTTCATGAAGATAGGAACTTAGTCTTGTTCACTGCCATATCCTTAACATTATGGACGATGCCTGGCATAGAATAGGTGTACAGTATTTGTAGAATAACAGTTTTTTCTATAGAATTAGTTTGTCATTAGTGAATTATTAAAGAATGACTTAGTAACAATGGCTAGGCTTGTGATAGTTGTATGTTTAAGTGCATTCAGGCATTAACTCTGTTTGCCTAATGTTGGCATGATTAATACTTATAAATGTTGCTCTATGAAACTTATATTTTAGACCTTTTAGGAAATTTTAAGATGAGAAAATTTAAGACTTTAAAAAGAATAGAATATGTCAAAAGAGTAAGGGTAGATGAATATTTAGGTCCATGTATTTGCTTCACTTATGCATTCTTTCTGGTAAAAGATAGTATACATAAACTTATACAACTTCTGTTACCTGAGAATTTAATAGTTCTCTTTTATAACTTGGTTAATGAGTCTGGAAAAATGGCTTATTTTTTTTTTAAGATTTTATTTATTTGACAGAGATAACGAGAACAGGAACAGAAGCAGGGGGAGTGGGAGAGGGAGAAGCAGGCCTCCCGCGGAGCAGGGAGCCCGATGTGGGACTCGATCCCAGGAACCTGGGATCATGACCTGAGCCGAAGGCAGACGCTTAACAACTGAGCCACCCAGGCGCCCAAAAATGGCTTATTTTAACATAGTTGACTATGTTGAAAAACAATCTTAATGTCTATATATTGTGACAGCCGTGAGTCTTAGCTTACACTAGCAGTTCTTCCACAAAACTATCCATATAGATGTGAACTGGCAAAGTATAGACATACTTCTAGACTTAGCATCAGTTTAAAATGCAAATAGACACAGTTTTGAAATTGGTAAAGTTTTTTTGTGTTCTCTGTCACAGTTAAAACTCAGAATGTGACTTGAGTTGTTATCTTTATTAAAGGAATAATACTGTACTGTCTGAGTTTTTGTTTATTGCTTCAGCTATAAACATTTTATAACAAGTAATGGGATGAAAGATTGATGTTCTATAAAATAATTTTATTTTTTAAAAAAGATTTATTTATTGAGAGAGAGCATGAGTGGAGGGAAGGGCAGAGGGAGAGGGGGAGAGAGAATCCTTAAGCGGATTCCCCACTGAGTGCGGAGCCTGACGTGGGGCTCCATCCCAGGACCCTGGTATCGTGACCTGAGCTGGTATCAAGAGTCAGCTGCTTAAAAGAGTCAGCTCTTACCAGGTGCCCCTATAAAAGAATTTTAAATATCACTGTACATGAACCCAGCTCTCACAGTCCATTTAAAGGGATAGAGGATAGTCCTTTCGAGTTTTTAATTTCCCTGAGATGACATGCTAGAACAATCATAGAGCCAGTTGGAAGATTCTAGAGGAAGAGAAACAATTTGCATATTTCTGGTACCATCTTCTAAGAACTGGAGCCCACTCTGCTCTAGAATAGTTCTGCTTATGAGGTTCCTCATCTGCTGTGCAATCCCCAGCCCCTCTTTTTTTGGCCCTTTTTTCCTAACCAAAAAGCATTTTTTCCTTCCAGATTCCCAGGTATATAACTTTATGTTTTATAGCCCTTCCAAAATTTTGAAATTTTATATTTCCTGTCCACATAGCTAGTACTTTGTAATGTTTTCTCTGTGTTATGTAATTTGGCCTTTATTTACTGGACTTCTGATAGCCAAGTATATTTTTGGAATTTATCTTCTTTGTTAATATATACTCTTCATTTACTACTGCAAAAACTTACATTGTTAGGAAGTCATTATTTAGTGTTTTCATGAAGAATGAACATAACTTTGAAATTCCCCAAAGGAAAAAGTTATTTGTGTGGTCTGTAAATTTATCAGGACTGCACAGTTTCTAGTATGCCATATTTTAATTTAGCAACTGAGCCCTTCTTATGGGCTCTCAGATTTTTTTTTTTTACACTGTATCTTGGAAGTTAGGAGGGCTTGTAAGAGCTCTTTGCACCCAAATTCATTTGTTGAGTGAGAAGTTTGATTTTTATTATAGTTGCAAAAGATTACATTACTAATAGCTTATTCCAGATATCTCTTAAATACTATACACACTGCTTCTCAAGCTATTAGTGGTGAAATACTAGTTTTAAAAATTTCCAGTTCAGGGGTGCATGGGTGGCTCAGTTGGTTAAGCGACTGCCTTCAGCTCAGGTCATGATCTCAGGGTCCTGGGATCAAGCCCCGCATTGGGCTTCCTGCTGGGCGGGAAGCCTGCTTCTCCCTTTCCCACTCCCCTGCTTGTGTTCCCTCTCTCACTGTCTCTCTCTGGGTCAAATAAATAAAATCTTTAAAAAAAAAATTTCCAGTTCATCAAAGACTGATATTTTTTTAAAATACAATAGAAATCAGTTACTAGAAAAGTGAAATTTAAAAAAATACAAAATATAGGCCCCACTCTTCATTACAAGATTCACAGATATGAAATTATTCTATCAAATTGCTATAAAACATTCTAAGCACTTATTCTCAATTTCTGTATTTTTCTTACTGCAGAGTAGCAGAAAGTAGTAGACTAGTAACATAGACTAGTAACAAATAGGTTGCAGGTCAGCATTGGTCTATAGACCATACTTTTTATTTTGTTTAAATTTTTTTTGTTATTTTTTAATTTTTAATTTTTAAAAATTTTAATTAAAGTATAGCTGACATAATAAAAATTAAGTTCAGGTGTACAATGTAGTGATTGTACAACACTTACGAAATTCTCACCATGATAAGTGTATTACAGTATTATAGACTATATTCCCTATGCTTTACTTTCATCCCCATGACTTACTTATTTTACAGTGGGCAGTTTGTACCTCTTAATCCCCTTTACCTATTTTGCCCAGGCCCCCACCCCCTAGACCATACTTTTTAGTAACATATCTATAGCCTGCTCTTTGTAGTGTTTAATGTTATGAGTTCTTAGAATCTTAGTCAATATGGTGAATAGCATTTATCCTTTAAAAAATATTTTCATGTGTTTCCTTTTCAGAACCGAGAGCTCCAAATCATGAGAAAGCTAGATCACTGTAACATAGTCCGATTGCGTTATTTCTTCTACTCAAGTGGTGAGAAGGTAGGTCTTGCAGAAAGTGTGTACTGAATATTGTGATAGACTTGTTATTCTTCTAAAAATAGTCATCATTCTCCACCCTACCCCCCACCTTAGCACAACTAGCAGAACAGTTTTGCTAATTGAATGGAAGAATTCTAAAACACAGGCCCTAGTGATTCTGAGCTCACGATATAATCATTGAATATCATTAGTTATATCAGAAATTGTTTATGAAATAATAAAGGGAATGAATTTTTAAGAATTTTCTTTTTTCGAATATCCGTCTTTAGTTCTTTATACATACGTATATATATTTTAAACCTTCTATGTTCCTTATGTGCTTCTGGAGCCGCTCCCATGATAGTTCCACCTGTTTATTAGAGGGTGGAAAATTATGTGGAATTTAAGTGGAATTATGTGGAATTTAAGTGGAAGTACTGGAGGGAAATGGGAAACAGGAAGACTTTGGTAGGACCAGAATGAGACTTAAACAGTGGGAGGCAAGTTTAACCTACCTTTGGCGAGGGAAAAAGAAAGGTGTAATATTACAGAGCTTGTTTTAAGTGGTCACTATTTATGATCACATTTAATTTTGTGAAAGCAAAGGATAATTAAAGGAGACTTTGTGCTGTGTATCCCTGGCCCTTTTTGGTCTTTCCATTCAGATGATGACAATAACTGATGTCATTGTGCTCACTGGAGTTTGGAAGCACAGAAAGTTAGTTTCTTCTTTTTTACCTGCTTCTTTCTGCCTGTTCACTGTCCCTTCCCAGATTCAATATTTCCTTACATTTCTGCTTCACTGGTTTGGGGTGAGAGGGCAGGGCAAATAATAAACCACTTAATCTTTTTGGCTAAACAAATACGACTTTGGATAAGACCATTTGATTTTTTTTTTTTTAAAGATTTTATTTACTTATTTGACAGAGAAATAGCACAAGTAGGCAGAGAGGCAGGCAGAGGGAGAGGGAGAAGCAGGCTCCCCGCGGAGCAGGGAGCCTGATGTGGGACTCGATCCCAGGACCCTGGGATCATGACCTGAGCTGAATGAAGGCAGCCGCTTAACTGACTGAGCCACCCAGGCGCCCTGACCATTTGATATTTTGGACTTCAGATTTCTGGTATATACTATCTGAAGTTCCTAGATTCGTAATTCCTCTTGATTTCTAAGCACAGTATTCTTTTTACTTCATATAACTATTTCCCAGTGTACCAGTGCTTAACCATTTTCCATTAAATTTTATTCAGATTATTTCCTTAGAAGTTTTTTTTCATGTCATCCTATAATATGGGAAGATACCTATGTATTAAGCCACAATTGTGATATACCTCCTATAGATATATAAATGTTAAATATTTGTATGTGTTTGTGTCAGTCATAGTTTTAGCAACCATAATTAGCAAATTGGCTCCTTAGTGACTCTTGTTTCTCAGGTATTTGTATTTGGGACTGTAAGCCCTTGTAAGTATTTGAGCTCTTTTGTTTCGAAAGCCAGTTATGAGGTTCATGCCTACTTTTTTTTTTTTTAACCTAGCAAACAGCCTGTTATGTCTTTAACGTATCCGTTTTGACATGTCTTTACTTTTTCCTGTCCCTTCCCAAATAAAATTATGGAACATCTGTTACATTCACAGCACTCTTATAATGGAATTTTGCATCCTCATGACTTTTTGTTATTAGATGCTAGACATTATAATACCCCAGGGAGAAAGTAAAGGTCAGAATTATTTGTTCCATGAACCAATAGATTACATGGAGATTGGTTTGCAGAGGCCTCCTTTCAAAGCCCTTAAACATTTTCTCATGATTACTTTATTTATATAGCTTTCCCTCTACAGCAGACACTGTTTTTAGCACTTTACAAATATTAACTCATTTAGTGCTTACAAAGATGAAGAACAGAAAAGGAAGAATCAAACTTTTGAATATAAGGCTCTATTTGTGGCAGCATCAAAAGGTTTACCTATCTGGTTTTGGTCTGGTGAAAGCCTTGATCACAGTCTGCCCTCACCCTCACTTAATCCTGCCTTGGGAGTGACACTGGACTGTTATCTGTGTACCCCAGAGGGTGGATTTTCCTCCCTGCTGCTGTTCAGAGCTGCTTATTATCATAAATGGTCTTACAGATAAAGAGCAATTGAGAAGTCATTAAGGGAGGTTAACCAGAAGGACACCGAACCCCTATTATAAAAAAGAAATGTGCTTTCTAATGTTTTATTTATCTCAGAACTTTCTCTTGAGCTTTATAAATTTCTGAAATGAAAAAAATAAAGATTCCTCTTAATTTTGGATAGCTTCATTTAAAAAAAATAGAAAGAAAAGTTGTGATATATTGCTGAAAGTAATGATCCTTCCTTAACAAAAAAGGAAGGTTTTCTGAAGATATGCAGAAATACTGCATATGGGAGGGTCAGGACCTCCCATAGTCTTCTAGCCACCAAAAAGATGATTTCTTCTTGCCCTACTCATGATCTCCACTTCCATTCTTCTGAATTGTTCTGAGAGGGCTAACATCACTCAAGAGACCAGGTAGTAAATTAATACGTCCCATATGAGAAGATGGGTTCTGCTCTCGGGTTGAGAGCTCAGGTTTGTAAGTATCAGTTCTAACTCTTAAGAGTAGGTTACTGAGAATGAACTTAGAACTACCTTTTAGAAAAGGATCTAAATATCATAGGAAATTCTTACAAATCTTTAAAGATGATTTCTCTCTGAATATGACAGTCCTCTATTAGGTAGGCATTTTTCTAACAGAAGCATTATGCCCTGCCTATGTGTATATATTAGAAGAGTTTGGGGGAGTAGTTCCAGATGCCTTTGGGACATGCAAATAGAATGCCCATTAGATAGATACATGTATGATTTCATAGGTGGTAGTGGTGGCTGACAGCGGGGGGTGGGGTGCTAAGCAGAGAAAGCATATTGACAAGGTTGTTATGTAGCCATGTGGTAGAGCTCTTCGGAGTTCTGGGAAGAGAGAGAAGGGGATGTTTGAGACCAGGAGGGTAAAGAGCCAGCAGCTTGCCAAGTATTGCCTTCTGGTCCTAGAATATGAGAACCATCTTCATTTGGGAAACTGCAAGGAAGCCAGTGCCTTTGGGTGGGATCCAGGTTTTGTCTAGGGCAAAGCAGTAAAAACAACAAAAACAAAACAAAAAAACCTCTGTGAAGAGACTGGGATTCAAAACCCCATGAAGAGTTTCTTTTCCAGGTGTTAGAGAGCTTAGGGGAACATCTGGACAGGAGATCAGTGGTCAGAACATGAGCCTAAAGGAGATGTGAGGAGGCGGCGATTAGGGGGATGGTTTTAGAAATTGTTGAGGATGAGAAAGAGAAGAATTCAGTGTTTCAGGATTATAAGGGTGAAAGACTTGGTTGATGTATATGGAAATATTTCATAACTCTCTTTTATTGTTGTCCTCATTTCTCCCTCTGCCATTTTCCCAGTCTCTTTTATGCCTTTTGTCGCTGTCTACTTTACAGGTTTCTGCTTCTTTCACTCTGTGCTCTAGGTTTCTATCTTTTGGTCTCTGAGGTTCTGTCCCTCTCTTTTGGTCTGTGTCACCCCCTCAGATTTCTTTTCCCTCTTCAACTCTGATATCTGTCTGTCTATCTCATTTCCTTCCTATATGGATTTTAACCTCATTCTCTTGGTTTTCTCTACTCCTCTTTTGTTGGGTTTCTACCCATCTTTCTTTGAATATCTGATCCTTCTGAGTCTTTGTATGGATTCTCATCTGTCCTGAGCCTTCTTCATTCTCTTTCTTGGTGTTTCTCTTTTTGAGCCTCTATTACTTTTTGGAAGATTTTAAAGAAAAATTTTTCACTCACCATCCTGACTTTTGACTTCTACATTATCTATGTATCTGTTTATCTATCTATCTTATTTCATTTGTACATGTTTTACCTATTTGTGTGAATAATTATTTATGACCTTACAAACTTTGAAGATCTCATAAAACTTTCCATGTTGCCTCATAGTATACAAATACTATGTTATTGGCTATATAATATTCCACTGAGTTATTGAACTGCATAATACTCCCTAACTATTCCCCCATTGTGATTTTTAATTTTAAAATTATAGCTAAGCTACCCCAGGGCTTCATCATAATTTTTGTCCATAAGCACTCTTCAGTTCTGGGTGAAGTTAGAGTAGGATTACTGGAATATTTGGCAAATATTTCCACTGACCACAGTTTGACTGAAATGTTACATCTGTTTTGGTGAACTTGTCTTTATTTTGCTCCACTCTGCCATTTTAAAGACTGTTTTCTTTAGGGATTGTAAATAATCAGCTTTTAGCATATAACTGGGGAAAGGACTAAAGAGAGTAACTAAAAGAAGGGGGAATTAAGTCAGGACAGAGACCAGAGGTGTGACCTAATTAGTCTTAGTCATAGTCTTCTGGTTGGAATTATTAGTGTTTGCTATAGTAACTAGAGCATCATGTAGTCAATTAGTATACTTTAGATTACCCAGTAGGTTTTAGTAACTCTGATTTAGTTCAGAAAAAGTGGCACTTTCTCCTTGACCAGACAAAAATGGGGATTTTTGAATGTTTTGAAAGTCAGGCTTATAATACTTTTGTGAATTCTGAGTTTGTGTTTTTTTTCAATATCAGTATTTGGCAATGGAAGCTCCTTTGCCCCTAAATAAAATTTTATGAAGAACCCTATTCTATAAATAAAACATAAAAAGTAAAGTTGCTTTGGTTGAAACTAGGGTATGGGACCAGCTGACATTGTCTTTCCTGAGTTGTACCTCACCTCTGTAGAACCCTAGGATTCTGAAGGATAGACATAGTATGCAAACCACATTGTGTCTTTATAGGAGCTTCAAATTTTATTTAAATTAATTTTTTTAAAGAAAAATTTCTGTAAGTAACCATACATGTGAAAATATTTTACCTGTGTTCATCATAGATTGATTACTTAAATAATAAAGAAATAGCCTTCCTTAAAAAAAAAAAATCTCTCCCTCTACTTATGTGAGAGTCAGTTTAAATAGCAAGGATGGC